CAAGAACATGAACTCTTGCCTTAGCCGGTTTGGCTCAGTGGATAGAGCATCAGCCTGCGGACCAAAGGGTCTCGGGTTCGATTCCAGTCAAGGGCATGTACCTCAGTTGCCCTGGTCAGGATGCGTGCAGGAGGCAACCAATCAATGTGTTTCTCTCTCATAGATGTTGCTCTCTGACTTCCCCTCTCAAAAAATCAATGGAGAAATATCCTCTAGTGAGGATTAAAATAATAATAATTTTTTAAATCAATAAAAGCATATTTAAAAATGTGCTAAAAAGAAAGAACTTGAACTCCCAAGGACGTCCCAGGAGTTGAATCCAGTTTTCAGCCACTGTCGGTAGTGTGACTGGAGGCAAGTGACATGACCTGGCCTCCGTTTCTTTTCCTGGCCCCGGAGGATAACACAGGGCCCACGTTGTCGAGTTAGTGTGGGGATGAGCCATACGGATGTGGCCAAATAGTGTCGCCCACAGAGTAAGCGTTCAGTAAACATTGGTGATTCTTTTTGTTGTTGTTGTTAATCTTCACCCGAGGATACTTTTCCATTGATCTTTTAGAGAAAGCAGAAAATAGAGGGAAAGAAGGTGAAGTTATCTGCTGGGGATGGGGTAGAGGATGTGGGAGAGGGAGAAGGCTTGAAACAAGATTGTGAGAGGGAGTTGACATGACTGCAGGGGTGGGGAGGGGAGGAGTGGAGGTGAACCTGAAGACTGTGAATTTGAAGCAGAATTAAATAATTTCTATGGCAGCTCTCAGCATCAGAGAGAAGGAGCAAGGCCTGGGGGAGAGGGGGCGTAGGGTGGCAATCTCAGAATTAAAAACACGGCAGAGGCCATTTGGGACAACATGGATGGACCCAGAGAAGGTACTATGCTCAGTGAAGTCGGTCAGAGAAAGACAAATACCACATGATTTCACTTATATGTGGACTCTATACTAATAAAAGGGTAATATGCTAATTAGACTGGATAGACCAGACATCTTCTGGACATCCTTCCAGACAAAGCCACGGTGGCAGGAGCCAAAGCAGAGGCACGAATTTCATGCATTGGGCCTCCAGTATATATATAATTTAATAAGTATACCTTAAAATCAAGGAAATTAATCCCCATTGATTGTTGGTATTATTTTTAACTTGGTTTCATGTGCAGTAACAAAACATTGTATATCTATAAGGGATGGTATATTCTGCAGATAGCCACATCAATATCTCCCATCCCGTGAGTGGTCAGGGACGATGAGGCAGGCAGGCAAGTGGCTAGGGGCAAACAGGCAGCAGGAGAGTGGTTAGAGGTGATCAGGTAGGCAGGCAGAGGTTGTTAGGGGCGATCAGGTAGGCATGCAGAGTGTTTAGGGGAGATCAGGCAGGCAGCCAGAGTGGTGAGGGGTGATCAGGCAGGCAGGCAGGTGAGTGGTTAGGAGGCAGCGGTCCCGGATTGTGAGAGGGATGGCTGACTGCTGCAGGGATTGGGCCTAAACCAGCAGTCGGACATCCACCCAGGGTCCCGGATTGGAGAGAGTGCAGGCCAGGTTGAGGGACCCCACCTCCCCATGCACGAATTTTGTGCACCGGGCCTCTAGTCTAAAAAATAAAAGAAACAAACAAACAAAACAGAAACAAAAACAAACTCATAGATACAGAGAAGAAAATGATGCTCGCCAGGGGGGAGGGCATTCAGAAGTCCACACTGCCAGTCATAGAAATAGTCAAGGAATGTAAAGTATAGCATAGGGAACACAACTGTGTATGGGGCCAGGTGTACTAGACTCAATGCAGTAATGACTGCGTAAGGTACATAAGCGTCTAATCACTGTGCTCTACCCCTGAAACTGATATAATAGTGTGTGTCAACTGTCATGGAAAAATAAATAAAAATTTAAACAGGGCAGAGGTAGGATAGTAGCAAGGAGTGGGACTTGGTACATGTGAGAATTTAGTGGATAATAAAGGTGACATTCCAATAAGGAAATAAAAGACTATTCGATAACAATAGGGGGCCACTGGTTAACTCTTTGGGGCAAAGATAAACTTACATTTTTGCCAACTATTCCAACTCAAAATTAATTGTAAATAAATTAGAATCGAAGGAGGAAGGAAGGAAGGAAGGAAGGAAGGAAGGAAGGAAGAAAGGAAGGA